TGAGGTAACCCTGATAATAGTTATGCAAAATTACCATTGTATTGTCACATTTTGGAGAGAAAAAATCCTGACACGTTGACTTTTATTGAAACTGATAACGATGGACATTTCATGTATTTTTTCATGGCATTAGGACTAAGCATACGTGGATTCCTCTCTTCAATCCGATGGGTAATTTGTGTGGATGGAACATTTTTGAAATCTAAGTACTGAGGTACGTTACTTGTTGCCACATGCCAAGATGCAAATCGTCAAATTTATCCAATTGCGTGGGGCATAGTAGATTCAGAAAACAATAACTCATGGACTTGGTTCTTTCAGAAATTGCGGCAAATAACCTACGACACAGACGAGCTAGTCTTTGTATCTGATCGTGCACTAAGCATATCAAATGATTTTAGCAACGTCTATCTTAACACACATTATCCTCAAACACGACATTATCCAGCTTAGGATCAGCATCATCATCAAAAGGTCCGAATTCCTGCCAAAATGGCTCACAGTTCATCATCTGTAGAATTTAGTGTACGATGTACCTCAATCTGGAAAAATGAGAATGTATAATTATTCAGTCAGCTGTTTAGTTATAGTTTCAATATGCCATGTAGATTTTAATGAACAAAACTCACACTTGACGATTCCGAAAATGTACAAAGTATTTCCCCCATAAGTTGTTTGCACATTTCCCAGCCCATTACTTTTGGAATTCTAGAATCATCCGTCACACGACTGAATCTCTTTCCAATGCTGGGAATTTCTTCAAACTCCCAAATCTGTAGAGTCAAAAATTTAATTTTCAGTAACATAATTAAAAAGGTGTAATGTATAAAATAGTTTTCGAAAATATTACAATGATTGCAAGGGAAAATCCATGCAGAGAGTATGAATATCAGAACTTATATACTTCTTCAACATTTCTCTCAACTTACGCTTGAACACCCTAATAGTGTACTCATACGAATTTTTCCCCCATGAATAGTTGTTAAATCTATCAACGTCATCCACCAAATAAAACCACCACGGGTTAATATACGTATTCTCCTCTGTTGACAAAATTACATACACCAATATAACGAGGAGGCCCAACTTATATTTATCGCTCTTATCTTGCAATCCAAATCTTGCAAGCTTGTCTCCAAATTTAATCTATACTTCATTTTCTTTTGAGGTTCTCATCAACCTCAGAATTAACTAGTGGACCAATTGTGACGTAAGTGTTATCTCCCTCAAGCTCAACAAATGTCCAAAGTAGGAATGTGTGAATAAGTCTTGATGCTTATCATCCAAGTTGTAGAAAACTTCATCAATCAATTTCATTCTACACATATTAATCATCTTCACGTTCACTATGTCTTCAGCATCCATTTTTTCCTAATGAAAAATGCAAAACAATAATTGAGTTAGGAATCTTATTTTTCAAAGCAATCATTTACCAAATTTTGACAAAAATAATAATGGACAGCATGTGAACATTCTCCATATATGAAGAAGAAATAACATTGTTAGATAAGAAAAAACAACTAGAGGACGTCACAACATATCAAGAGAAAACAACCAAAGATTATGTATCAAGAAACTCCTAAAAACATTCAGCTTATCGATTATAGGGGCTCAGACGGGTCGTTGCTACTTATGCTCGTGTTTATAGGCAGAACGACACATGTGTCATTTTATATACAGTAATGACACAAGTATCGTTTTCATGGACTTTGATTTACAAACATAACGACAGTTATACCATTCTAATAGATGTTCTTATATCAGAAACAGCACAAGTGCCATTTTCTACACAATCACGACACTTGTGTTGTTCTCGTAGTTCTTTTCATAACTCAGTAACAGCACAAATATCGTTCTCATGGACTTTCATTTACAAATATAAGGACAGTTATACCATTCTAATAACGACAGTTGGCCATTCAAATGCCACTTCAATCAAGATTACCAAATAGCAACATCAAGACCAATAATGTGCATTTTAATTGCAAAAGTTAAGTTCTCACAAAATATAATGATGCACGATCAAATTGAGTTATAAAAGCACTAAAAATTTCTATTCTTGAAGAATCATTCCAAAATTCTTTTGAATGGACTTGTTGTTCAATATCAAAATGATTGCACCTAAACACTTTATGCATAAACACCATACTTCTGCGATGAATTCCCACGTCAGCCACAAACAAGCACATAATACACAATTTCAAAAATTCACTTTTAAATCACAAAAAATTAACCTAAACATTAAGATGAGTGACTCACCAAGAGAATAGAAAAGGTTCATCCAAGCTATTGAAAACACTGACAATACAATACATACACATTCCTTGCCATATATATATACATTTCAGTGTTAATTTCTCAAAGCCCATTATTAACTACGAGAAAGCCAAGATTCCGGATTGTACAATTTAGATGTACTGAGACTATATTTGTGGGCATTTGAAACCCCAAAATTCGAATTTTAAATAATTCATTTCTCGTCAAATTCATACGGCAAATAAAACAAACCCTCAAAGAGGGAGTCAACAACTCGATTAAAGAAACTAACCAAAATAAAATTGAAACTTAAATTGTAAATTGAAAAACGTTACCACGCTGCAAATCCGCCATATCTTCAGAACACGAATAATTACACAACCAAAACCTATACCGGAGTTGAAATTATAGAACAAAACCAAAAAAAGAAGTCCTCACACACTAAATTTGATGGAATGCAGTCGATTTTACTGGGTTTACAGTGAATTTAAAAGCGGTGAAAGGGAAGAAGGAAGCCGTTCATTTCAAAAAAAATGGAAAAGTGGTTTACGCCTTTACGGTGGGTGAAATGGGGGGAAATTGTGATTTTTGAGTTAATAGTTAAAGGGCAATTTTGTCATTTTATTACATTTTGATCTTTTTTGCTGAGTCAAAGGCTATTTGTCCATCCAACCCAGCTAACTGGCCAAATTTCCCAAATATTTTATTCGGTTAATACACTGATCGGACCGCACAGTAATCAATGGCAACTTCTATTCCGAATCGTCAACTTTTCATCGATGGCGAATGGAGGGAGCCCATCAAGAGAAATCGCATTCCCATCATCAATCCAGCAACTGAACAGATCATCGGTCTATTTCAACCCTTCTCTTAACAATATTTTTGTTTCGATTTTCTGTTCTTTACTCTTGTTCACTCTTTGCTTCAATCCAAGTGTTTATGGGGTTAATTTTATTTGATAATATGTTTTTTATTATTAGATGAAATTGAATAGTCCCACGATGGAAAAATTAGAAAAGAAAACACCGAGAGTACAAGTGGGAGAATCTTTTTAACTTAGTTGAGACTTGAGACGGACTTTATGAGTGACTAAGATATATAATTTACTGCAATTGGTTTTTGGGATAAACGAGGGGAAATTGTTTATAATATTGTTTTTATTTCTTTTTTACTGAAATTGGTCAAGAGGAATATGAGAAAATATTGATTTAGTTGGTATAAAGCGTGTCATGAATCTGATATACGCATATACATTTTTCATTTGTTTCAGGGAGTATTCCCGCAGCTACAGCTGAAGATGTAGATGTAGCAGTGGAAGCTGCCCGGAAAGCTCTTTACCGAAATGCAGGCAAAGATTGGGCTTCTGCTACAGGGGCACATCGTGCCAAGTATCTACGCGCCATTGCTGCAAAGGTCTGTAATTTTATTTGTTGCTTGGGGTCTTTTATTTGTGCTGTTTCAGACTTTATCTGATTAATTTGCATTGAGATTGTGATCTTTTATTTTCAATTGCATTTTGTTAAATTGTTCTCTCATGTATTTACTAGTTATGACCTACGGTTGAGATATTACTGGAACCATATTGAAAAATTCAATTATAAGATATGTTTTGCTTGTGCGAGCATCAAAAATTTTGAATAATGAGTTTTTGCATCTGTACAAGTCTGTGCAAGCAGGCGCACATAGAAACACAAGTTGATGCATAAGGGCGTTCATATCATTTCCACTTTCAGGAAGAAGTTTGCTTTCCATGTAACTGAAAATTAGTAGCTGGTGGTAACATCTACAGTTAATACTGGCCTTTATCTTCTTCAAACTTTAAAAAGAGTTTAATTCCAGATAGTAGAAATGTTCACAAGTAAATGGCCATTTTGTTTAAGTGCTAGAGGGTACTCATTTTAGGTAATGGTAGACAATATATTTTAATGTAGAAGGTGGGCGCTTATGCCAGCATTTGTAGCTATATGTAAATGATTTTATGGTAGCCACAACACTAACTTTGCTAGCTAGGATTATCTTTGTCAATTTTACAATAACTAGTCACAGCTAAACGTGTGTTGCACGTTATTTTGAAATACTTTATAAACACCTAAACACCGTAAAAATAATATTTGAAAATCAGTGAATATAAAAAATAGTTAAAAAAATTGTTTATGAAATTCAATTATTTATTTACGTGTATGATAATAATTAACATTAATTTATATATATCCTAGTATAATTCAATCAATTAATTCTTCAAGTTCATACACGTACACTTTATATATTTTGTGGGCTATTTAATTACTCTAAAAATACTACAATTCAATTATTTTATGTATGTGCATGTATACTAATTAACATTTATTTATGGATATATTAAATGTAACATTAAGTCATCAAATTCGTGTACACGTGTTTTAGGAGTTATTCAATTATTTTAGGAGTAAATAAATTATTCAAGTTCATGAACATGTATTTATTTTCAAGATTATTCATTTTATCATAAATTATTATAGAGTATATAAATTATTAAAGATCATATAATTTGAGAGCTATTCAATTAGAAAAATGCTATGTGAACACCTCATGGTGTATACACGGCTTTACACCCCCCTCACATGGAGGGGGGCCGCGAATATTTTTTTGTGTGTTGGCCCCCCCTCCATGTGAGGGGGGTGTAAAGTCGTGTGTACACCATTGTGTACACGTACCATCTCCCATTCAATTATTATAGGAGTAGATAAATTATTCAAATTCATGTATACTTATTTAATTTCAATATTATTCATTTAATTTATGATACAACGCCATTTGTCTAAATGTATATATGCCTCTGTTTGGGAGCCATTTTGGCCCCAAAAAAATGAAAATTTTGACCGTTAGACATTGTCAGTGGGACCCGTGTGTTCAATAAGTAATGATGGTAGTTGATTCAATTTACTAGGCTGCCATTACTTTAGTTCAGGCTGAATTTTTTATAAGGGCAAATTGGTAATTCTCCTTCATTTAGTCAAAAATTTTCTGCCCTTCCCTGACACGTACATTGTGCAACGGCTATAAATTTTCTACAAATTTGATAGAGAATTGCTCCCAAACAGATGCTAAATTATTATTTTTCTATATTCATTTATTTAAATTAATTAAATTTCATGTTGGTTCATGTACACTCCCTTTGTTTAAATGTATATAAATTATTATTTTTCTATATCTATTAATTCAAATTAATTAAATTTCGTGTTGGTTCACTTACACTCCATTTGTTTAAATGTATATACATTATTCTTTTTCTATATTCATTAATTCAAATTAATTAAATTCTGTGTTCATGAATCAATTTGATTGTTCTTGTATAATTCAATTATTTATTTGCGTGCATGTTTAATAATTAATACTCAATTAATTATATATTGAAAAACGAAAAGTAAGGTACTATTGAAATAATTAATTGTAATAGGGTTACAATTGTTCAGAAAATGATTCTCACTTCATGCGATATTTAATATATTATAGATTATTGTTTTCTGAGTGTACTTGAGATTTAGCCTTTTCTGCATGTACTTAGTTCAGGCTGTGGGTGTTTCTATTTATAAAGCTTCCATAAAATTTACTTTTATTATTCATTTCTATGATGGATATTTATCTCTAATTTGCTTGGTTTAGATGTCTGTCTGCTTAATCTTTTCACTGATGTGTAGATCACAGAAAGGAAATCGGAATTAGCAAAACTCGAAGCAATCGATTCTGGGAAGCCATTGGAAGAAGCGGCTTGGGATATAGTATGTTTTAAGTACCTAGAAAAACATTTTGCTCGTTCTCTATATTACACATCGACTTTATGCTCATTCATGTCATCCAGGATGACGTTGCTGGATGTTTTGAATATCATGCTGAGCTTGCTGAAGCTTTGGATTCAAAGCAAAAGACTCCTATTTCTCTTCCGATGGAGACATTTAAGTGTCATGTTTTGAGAGAACCCCTTGGGGTCATTGGGTTGATTACCCCATGGTAGGTGCTACTTATTTAGTTGGTTCTTATAATTTTTTTCTTATTAGAGAAATAATAAAGGAATATTTGCTCCTCCATCACGCCCCTCCCCTTTCTGCAAAAAATTCTGTATTACAAATACATGTCACGATAACAAATTCTCTGCTTTATGATCTTTCGTTATCAATTAAGTTTGCTGATTGTGTGAAATTGTTTTTGGCTTGTTTATACCATAAGCGTTGCAACTTGGTCTTGTTCAACTATAATTTAGAAATATCTGAGAAATGTTTACTTTCTATTTGAGAAATGGACAAGGGATGACAACGAGAACATAAAATTCAGCAATGAGTTAATGCTGTTTTCTTTGCTTTCTAAGTACACCCTCTAAGAAAAAGGAAAGAAAATAGACTATTCCTCAATGTGGTCTTGTTCAACTTTAGTTTAGAAATATCTGAGAAATGTCTTCTTTCTATCTGAGAAATGGACCATGGATGACAACGAGAACATAAAATTGAGCAATTAGCTAATGCTGTTTTCTTTGCTTTCTAAGTACACCCTGTAAGAAAAGGAAAGAAAACAGACTATTACTCAATGTGGAAACTGGAAGCTTCTCTCTTAGAATGCACCAATACTTAGTGTTAGACTTTTTAAGCAATGTATTTCGTAGAAGAATAACCATTGAAACTACTGTTGAGTTTTGTTGAAAGAGACTGCACTTGCTGCATCATACTGTGAAGATTAGGTCTTATTGGCATGGATTCAATCTCATGAACCAACAAATGAGTCTGTAATGTATCTCTCCTGGATTAACTGAGAGTATGGGTATTGATTGACATAGAAATTTTGGTACTCATTTTGTAGGAATTACCCTCTATTAATGGCTACGTGGAAAGTTGCCCCTGCCCTAGCTGCTGGGTGTACTGCAGTACTTAAGCCGTCGGAATTAGCATCAGTGTAACTCCTTATAAAAACTCATTTTCTTGGCTTCAGTTGTCAATGTCTTTAACTGTACAGTCACACCTACAATTTCTACTGCAGTACTTGTTTGGAATTAGGTGAAGTGTGTAAAGAGGTAGGCCTACCACCTGGCGTTCTCAATATTCAGACAGGCCTGGGACAAGAAGCTGGTGCTCCTTTGGCATCTCATCCTCATCTAGATATCGTGAAGANTGGAGGCCAGTTACACGTGATACTTGTTAACTATACCTATGTGTACTAAACCTATTATAATTTAATGTTGCTTGTAGCCAGTTACACTTGAGCTTGGTGGAAAAAGCCCAATTGTTGTATTTGAGGATGTTGATCTAGACAAAGGTTTGAGCCTTTTCAACTATGAATTATCACCCTAGTTTGCTATTTACATGGTTAAAGAAATTGCGTCACTATCATTTGATCAATTGGAACTTTGAATTAAAATGAGGGGCACCACTGCACCATTAAACATCTCCCAACTTCCCAACTCCTACCCAAAAAATAAAAAAGATAAATAAATTATTCAATTAACAAGCGCACAAGAACTTGTGCGTGGGGTGGAAGGGGATGCATGAACTTCTGATAAACAATTACAAAATGTTTGTGAGTAGAACTGATTAAGACAACACTTTAAAGAGATCAATGTATAATCTGCATTTCCTGTGTGAGTATTGAAATATGCTCCAATTTTCTGATTTACTGAGTATTTTTGTTCATGTTTACCATTCGAAACAGCTGCTGAGTGGTCTCTTTTTGGTTGCTTTTGGACAAATGGTCAGATTTGCAGTGCCACTTCTCGACTTCTTGTGCATGTAAGTATGAAATACTGCATCTTTGATAATGTTATTCAGATATCAGCCATGTTTTGGTAAAGTCCCTCTATCTCTCGCACAAGACATAAATTTGTTCTGTATCTACATAAGTCCTAGTTAATGAATTCATAACTAATGTCCTATTATAGCAGCTCTCGTGTTCATCGTATACATATTTCAGTAGTATTAAAGTATGTGAACAATTTTTTCTGGTAAATTCTCCAAATAACCAAAATTAAGAAAGAAATAAAAAGAACCGTATATAAAAACTTCGAGAAAATAAAAAGGTCAAAAGAAAAGGAAACTGTTGACCTGTAAACAGTGGGTTCTGGGATTAAGTTAGGGTCATATGATTGCATGGGTGGTTGCATCATCTCATGTAGGAGCTCCTCATACAGGTCAGACGGCCTGCTCAGATTGATGAGGCTGACTCTGGCTTGAGCTGGGTTGATGCCTCGAGAGCTGAATGATATTCACGTCACGTCAGTCATTCCTCCTGTGCTGTTTGCCCTTAAGACTAGCCTAACTTCTGCTTCACGGCTAAGAGTGCAACCACAATGCTGGCGTTGTTGCTGCTTTGGGTTTCCATTGTTTGAAACTGCTGTTTACTTAATTTTTCTCCTTCGTGATAAAGCACTGATGCGGTGGTTGCCACACTGAATTGTACCATTAGTCCACCATTTATGAGCTTTATAGTAAGTTGTTTGACTCCCAACTTAATTAATTCTCAGTATCAGGGGTGAAGTCCATTCAGGCCCAGTGAGGGCACTCTTAGCCTGCCCCTGTTGGAAGGGTTCTTGGCTGCACTTGGCTTGGCTCAAATCCCCAGCCCAATGCTTGTAAATCATAACAAATCTTAAAAAAAGAAGATTTAATTCAAAACCCAACTAAAATGACTCAGTTATAATGGAGACCAACTCCAAATCAAACACAAAATTTAGACCCATATTTCACCCAATTCAATCCAGTCAAAATTTAAATCCATATTTCACCATACCAACATCCAACAAGCCCATATTTTATTCATAAAGTTGAATGTTTTATTTTAATTTTGAATTTTACTGAATATTATTTTATGGTTTAAATTTTTTAATTTCTTACAATGTTCTCATACGGTTGAACTTTGTTTTCTTGAATGTGATTTGAAAAGCTATTGTTAGTACTTAATATTGACATGAACATTTTTATATCTACTTCAATTTCCATGAATTTGTTCCTGGACTTCAAATTTTGCATTGCATAGTTACTTAGTTGGCGTATAAGTCTGGAAGCCAATAAAAAAGCACTAAGAATGATTTTTGGACGAGGCTTGATTGCTTTAAACTGGAATACTTTTATGAATTATCTATGGATGTAGAAGAATGAATCTGCCCCCTTGAGGCTTTAGTTCTAAAACTGCAACAACATGTGAATTAACTATGGGCCTATGGCCATCTTAAATTGATTAATAGAGAGGAAATTATTTAGTGAATGTTTGGCTAAGCTTAAAGAAGTTTCTTTTAACTAAGTTTACATTTGTGTAAATAAGTCAAAACACAGAAATAAGTTGCATATCCTAACATATAAAAAATTAGTAAGTATTTTTACTTACCTATATTTTACCGTTCTTAAAGCATGCCCTCACTGAAGTAGTATTCTGTAGGGCTGTCAATGGATTGGATTTTGATCCGAATTCGATCCGAATCTGACTAAATTAATGGGAGATGGATTTAGGATCTCAGTCCGATAACCAGATCAAGATCTGAATTCGATAATCTGTTAATTAAATGGATCAAATTTGGATATAGGTCAATCCGATCCGATTTGTTATAAATAATTGAGTCGGTAAAATATTTGAATGTCATATTATTTGTCATTAAAATAAATAAATTTAGAATAAAAAAGTAATCAAATTCAAAACATAAAAAAATTGAAAAATTTATAATTATTGAACATGTTTAAGAATTGGAAAATTTAAAGAAAAAAAGAGTTGATTTCAACCAATGTTTTAAAAATCGACCAGAGAAAGGAAGAGGGTCAAGAGTCAAAAAGTTGAATCGGTTGTCAAATTGAATAAATAACTATACACATAACTGTAAAATATTATAAAAACAATAGATTTTTTTAAAAAAAATTTAGTTTACTAATTTAAAATAAATAAATATCTATATTTTTCTTAATTAAATTTATTATTGTAATTAATTTTACAATTTCAAAAACTAATAATTAATATGTAACAAATAATTTGATTTGTTTATAGAAATAATGAAATAAAATATTTATATTTAGAATTGAAATTCAATTTTACCTTATTCCACATCGAATGTCGATAGAAAATTAGAAGGTGATCTCTTTTTTAAAAAGGAACATCATGATGGTATAAGTTACTATTGGACTTGCTAGTAAAAATAGGTAGCCTCAAGTTAGTTCAAATTTTTTTAAAGAACATTGATTTTTTTCCCCTAATTTTTATTATTTTCAGATCGGATATTCGATAATATAGCAAATCAGATATGAATGTAATAATCAAATATCCGTTGGATTATCAGATCGGATCGGATAATTTTCTTATCAGATCGGATATAGGCAAATCTGATCCATTTACAGCTCTAGTATTCTGGCTGCGCTCCTGTCCAGTATCATGGCCAACCTTTTGAATTTACGTCATTAGTCCTTAACGTATGGTTTATATCAAATTAGCTATTACCGATACACATGGCCCTCATATGTTTAGTGTCCTTTCATACTTAGCATCTTTCGAGGGTTGTTTGTGGTTAAGGATCAATTTGACAAAAACCATCCATTAAGGACTAATGGTGCCATCAAGTCCAACATTCAAATATGTACCAACTTTCTGTTTTGCTAATAGGTAGGAAACTGATTGTGCAATTTTTCCAAATCTCAAAACACATTAGTTTCTTTTTACTTCTTCAATTGGCCTTGTATCTCCACCCCCAGCGTCCAACCTCCTACACTGTCTCCCTACATCTCTGCCTACCTTCCCTGTTCCCCTCCCTTTCACTCCCCACTACTGCTTCCACTCCAAACTTCACAAATAAGCTATATAATTCATTATGCATAAAGTTTCAGGGCATTACATTCTTTTTTAGTCTGTCAACGACAAATGAGATGCAATTTTGTGGACTTAGCTATCCGTTTCTATGCTTTCATTATGTTGATTCAAGTTCTTTCGTCAGAAACAGGGTATATTGGAGTAGTTTAAAACCTGGCACATGTTAATCACATTGAAGCATAAATAGAGGATTTTTGTTGTTCAACTCTTGTAGCAAAGTGATACTCTGTTCTACTGTTTATTGTCTTGAATGTTGTACCAGTACTATAACTTTTGAAGTTTTGACAAATATTTCAGGAAAGCATTGCAGCAGAATTCTTGGACAAGCTTGTAAAGTGGTGCAAGAACATCAAAATTTCAGACCCCTTGGAGGAAGGTTGCAGGCTTGGTCCTGTGGTAAGCAGTGGACAGGTAAGAAAGCTTGTATTTTGCTCTGTTTTCTCCAACTCACAAGATATAGGGCTGGAAAGATTTACGTCGTTACCTGCTAAAGTTCCATTAAATGCTATGGCTGAATCTTACAAGTAAAAACTTCCGTGGAGAGAAACTGTTGAATACATTATGTTTTTGTTCTTTATAATATTTTGTGCATACATACTATGAACATATTAATTCTTGTTCTCTCATTTTATTCCTTATTGGAATGAAGATATCAGAAATTATATTACTCATTACTCAAATTTGGTATTTTTACAGTACGAGAAAGTAATGAAGTTCATCTCAACAGCCAAGGATGAAGGTGCCACCATCTTGTGTGGGGGTGAACGCCCTTGGGTAAAATTCCTTAATCAAGCCTATGGTAAGTTCGTGAATCAGCTTATAAGGATATTGACCAAGCTTTGTGATTGATTTGCAGCATTTAAAGAAGGGCTACTACATCGAACCGGCCATAATAACAGATGTAAAGACCTCCATGCAAATCTGGAGAGAGGAAGTATTTGGACCAGTTCTTTGTGTCAAAACATTCAAAACTGAAGATGAAGCCATTGAACTAGCAAATGACACCCAGTGAGCTGAATATTTATTATCCTTAATGCTTCTGTTCCCTGAGACCTTTATTTGTGATTTAGAGCTTGTTTGTCTCGCATTATTGGGAGAAGAATGGAGTTTTGAATAGTATTTTTTGAAGAATGTTTGGGTGAAATTTAAAGTAGGTTTATTGGTTTGTGTGTAGAATATTTTATTGGGTGAATGTATGGTGGAGAATCTTACTGTACCAAACAGATTTTTAGATTAATGGTTGACAAACAGGGGCTTAAATTTTCTGTTTTCATTGACTGGATAATTGTTGACAGATATGGTTTGGCTGCTGCTGTATTATCACAAGATCTGGAAAGGTGTGAGCGGATGACCAAGGTGAGAATCATTTCCAATTATGAACGATATTTTAAAACCCAGCCTGGCAGGTTGGTCTTTAAAACACTGCTAATGAAAATTAAATAGGAAGCAACACTTCAACCTCAACAAACAAATATGAAGGCTACATGGTGTTGGAGATAACTATGATTTGTGTTCTTTCTTTTATGCAGGCTTTTCAGGCAGGGATTGTTTGGGTCAACTGCTCACAGCCTTGCTTCTCTCAAGCTCCATGGGGAGGCAAAAAGCGCAGTGGTTTTGGGCGTGAACTTGGAGAATGGTAATGTTATTTTTTCCCTCTCTTTCTCTATTTATTCCTTTTTTCGTAAGCATTCTTAAACCTTGCTAGTTGCCAGTCTAGACGCCTTATTTTCCCTTCCTCGTCCTATCATTTTTAAGATGTTTTTGATTATCTTAGCTGTAACTTTACCTGTACTTGAAACCCAAATTTCAAGTTATAGGAAGAAGGTTCAAAGGGAAAAAACTAGATAACTTGCTCTTTTCTCAGGGGACTGAACAACTATTTGAATGTGAAGCAAGTCACACAGTATGTATCTGATGATCCATGGGGCTGGTACAAGTCACCTTCCAAGCTATGAATACTTCGTCTGGATCTAGAACAACACGAGTTGAGAACTGTCGCTCTTCATCTTATCTTTAGTGAGAAGGTCGAACTATGCATCTGATCGCAACACTGAGATGACAGAAACTTGTGACGTGTTTAGTTCACTGAAATGATTCTGGTAGCCTACTCGGGATACGTACAATGTAGAATAGTCTTGAATAAAAGTCGTTTTTATTTTATTTGCTCATCTTCAACATCCATAAGCATTGTACTCACTTGTCAAAATGAAGACCATCACCATGTCGACTTACTTTTCCAAACACCTTGATATAGTCAGCATTTATGATTTAAATACTCTTTTTTTAAAAAAATTTGTTTAATATACTTTAATTAATTAAGAACAATATGGTCGTACTTAAACGTGTTCTTTGTTTCTTGGTTGTTTCTACATTCTTACGAATATCTTCTTCAAAAGTCTACACATTCGTTAGTTCGTGTGAAAATCTTGTGTTTGTTCTTGTTTATAATTCTGCCTGCATCACACCTTGTAAACATGTTTGGCAAAGATTAACTTTCATAAAGTTAGTTGAATATACTATAACTTATTACTAATTTATTATCTACATATTTCGTAAGACTTAAGAATAATAATTGTTTAAAAATTTGAATCTTGGTATTCATATGCTGATGCACGATACCTATTACAGGTGGTTTACGTGATGCTCCACTTGATTTTGTGAGCTTTCCTGTAATATGCTGTCAATGTGGATTGTGTAACCTTAAAATTTTGTCGAACTTATATTAAGTCTCTGTTTGAGCCACATTAAATTTTTTATTATTATTTTTCTATTCATTTTTAACCATACATTTTTTAATAAAATAATATTTTCCATCACATCAATGACTTTTTTTTTTTTTTTTAACTATACATTTTCCATCAATCTATATTTTAAAATAGATTCTTCCAAAATAATGTGACTCAANTTTAACACTGAAAATGAGGATCTACACCGCAAATTTGACAAGAGTCATTTTTCTCCCATTTTTCCGACCATTTTGCAACGAAATTCCAGCACCGTCCGACCTCCTAAGCCGCGGAAATGAGCACCGGTCGAAAGCACTCATCTTCCTCTTCAATTAGCATCCAACATCTCCCAATTTCATCAACTTATGTAATTGAAATCGATGCTCAAAGTGCAATGCCCATAAATCTGAAAATCGCCAAATAAATCGAGCTCCGGTCGAAATTGGCCACGACCCATACCTAGGAAAGCTTTGCCATCACCAGACGACTACGTCCATGTCTCCAATTTAACACAAACAATAGCAGAAATTTTAATTTTGCAGCAAGTTCTTCGCCAGTCGCGAATGTCGCGGCAGTGTCTTATGAAAACTCAAATTCTGGAGCCGTCCGTCCACGCCCCGATCTCGGAGCACCTGGGATTTGATCCTCTTCACCTGGCGAAGCTTGCCCAGGTATGGGTCATGGCCAATTTCGACTGGAGCTCGATTTATTTGGCGATTTTCAGATTTATGGGCATTGAACTTTGAGCATCGATTCCAATCACATAAGTTGATGAAATTGGGAGATGTTGGATGCTAATTGAAGAGGAAGAGGAGTGCTTTCGACCGGTGCTCATTTCCGACGGCTTAGGAAGTCGGACGGCGTCGGAATTTCGTTGCAAAATGGCCGGAAAAATGGCTCTTGTCAAATTTGCGGTGTAGGTCCTCATTTTCAGAGTTAAACTCATTTGGTCCTTCAGTGACCATTCTTGAAATTGGGTGATACTTGAGTGACCGTTAGTCCAATTTTGTAACTTCAGTGACCGTTTTGAATTTTGGTGTAACTTGAGTGACCATTTGTGAAATTAACCCACTTTTTAATCATATTCTCCAAAAATTACTATTCAAAAATTCATTTTTTTCCCAAAAAAAAAAAAAATCTTATTTTAATGGTATCAAACGGGGATTAACCAATCATGAAATTCTGTGCAAAATTTCATGTTTTCAAAACTCAATACATTATTTTATTTATTACATTTTGGGGCAACCCCACCCGTACCTTCCCTTGCACCCCCACCATGTGAAAAAACACGGGGAAACTCCGTCACCATCTTGCCTTCTTATCCACTCTCCCAACCTTACCTTACCTTACCTTACCTTACATAATAAATAAATATTTGGATCTTCTCTATACAATATTCTGATTCGCATCACATATTCTCTCTGTATCTTTTCCTTTCTATTATATAGTTTGGTGGAAAACTTTGTTTATTATTGTATGCAATAATCTGTTTCTTTGCCAATCTGTGTAAATTTTCTACCTCAACATTGCCCTTGTACATATGTTGTGGGATTGAAGTAGACTCAAATTCTGTACATTTGAAGGTGTTTGTAATCTTTAAAAAGGCTGCATTCTGAAAATTGAGATCTGGGTATTGGATTTCTGAAAGTTGAATTCATGGGGAGCACAGAAGAGAGTGTTGTTGCTGTAATCATGGTGGGCGGACCAACTAAAGGTATTGTTATGAATCTTATTTCGTTTTAGTATAAATTAATTGTACTCTAATTCTGATGAATATTTAATAGTTTGGAGGAATTAGTTGAGCCTTTTATGAATTTGATGCAAGCCTGAAATTTGGGTAGTACGTATTGCAATTTGTCCTTTAGATTGGGCAAGATGAATCTTTCTCTTGATTTTACTGTTTTGCTGATGAAGTTCAAATTTTGTTAGAATAATGAGACCCGTAAATATTTTGTTAATTATGGAATTTGGGAATGCAGGTACTAGATTCAGACCACTGTCATTGAACATTCCGAAGCCACTATTTCCATTAGCGGGACAAGCAATGGTTCATCATCCTATATCTGCTTGTAAAAGGGTATGAAATATCATTTGGATGTTTGCCAGTTTTTATTTTGTCTAATTGGCATTTTCTATAATTGAAACTAGAAGTTAGCTGTCTTCTAATAGTGTATAAAGGAGTAGTGAAATTGAATATCCACAATAAGATATGGATCTAGTATGTTAACTATGGGGTACTGATCAAGAAACTAACTTTCCCATTGTATTCCTTTATCAGATCCCAAATCTGGCACAGATCTACCTAATTGGTTTCTACGAGGAGCGGGAATTTGCATTATTTGTTTCTTCTGTTTCTAACGAGCTTAGAGTTCCTGTCAGGTAGTTCTGATTCTTCTTAAAAATTTCAACAGTGTTGAAGGTTACCATAATTACAGCATTGAATATTGAACCTCTCCGTGTTGTTTCCTGTTGCACTCTGTTATTAGATACTTGAAAGAGGATAAGCCACATGGTTCAGCTGGTGGTCTTTATAACTTCAGAGATTTGATCATGGAAGACAACCCGGTTCGAATTATTTACTGTTATCATATTATTTACTTTAATAGGATAAAAACAACACAAGTCAATACTAATATCAATGAAAGAAAAGAAAATATATACTTGTTTTTGGTTTCCAATCATTTTTCGATATCTATGTTAAGATGCCCATTTTATTTTACTTGACAGTCACACATTGTATTGCTGAATTGTGACGTTTGTTGTAGTTTTCCACTGCCTGATATGCTAGGTAATTGTCTCTCTTCCATCTTACTTTGCTACTTCGGCAATTTGACATGGCTTTTGCTTTTCCCTCACTTTTGAAGGAAGCTACCTTAGTCTTTGTTTGGAAACTAACTTTTAAAAGAGCTTTCTATTCCGAAAGTACTTTTTGAGGAAGCCAACGTTGGACTAGCTTTCTCTAAAAGCTCTTCTAACTAGCAGATGCACTTTGGTAAAATTAATCAAACAATTTCAAAAAAACAGCTTTTGGGTCTCAAAAGCTCCTTTTGGCATTTCAAAAGCCATGCCAAACAGGGCCCTAAATCTGTTATATATCTGGCCTTCATTTCTGAAAATTAAATTGCTGGTTGATGCCTTCAATTTGCAGAGGCCCACAGAAGATATGGTGGAATGGGAACTATTTTGGTAATCAAGGTTGGTAACTCTATTTTTATGCCATCTATCCACGAAAATATCCATTTGATTATCATCGTTCCTCAGAATATTTTCTTTACTTCCATTTATTATGGTTTCACTTTCTTATTTCTTTCCATATGCAGGTATCTCCTGAGTCAGCATACCAGTTTGGGGAACTTGTGGCTGATCCTGTTACTAATGAACTGTTGCACTACGCAGAGAAACCTGAAACTTTTGTACGTAACAATTCTGAGATTTATCTAGTATTTAGTTTTGGTACTGCTTCATGATGTCTTCAGCTTATGCTTGGTTACATTTCATTTCTCTGTATAAACAGGTGAGTGATCGTATAAATTGTGGTGTCTACATATTTACCCCTGACATCTTTACAGCCATTCAAGGTGTATCCACACAACGAAAAGACAGAGGTTAGTAGTACCTTTGTGTTGCTTCATCGGTATTACTGAGGATATAATTTATTGATTGAGAAGTTTTAAAAATATATTGTCCATCATTCAATTATTAGATAATCAATTCTGTCGTGGTAATCTACTCAAGAGCAGGGTTAGCTACAGGACTTTTAGGGGCCTTCCAAAATGATTCAATCATGTTTTGACTGTTTTAATTTCTGCTTTCTTGGGTTCATTTGTATCAATTTAGTGGAAGTTGCTAGTGTAAATTGTAAGTTTCTGATTGATTGCAAGGCCATCGGAATGATAAAGTAAACGAACTGTTACTTTATAACTTTAAATTCTTTTTCCTCTTTTTGCTAAATTTTTCACAGAAGATTTTTCTCCCTCCATTTATATTCATTTCCCACCATTCCTTCTTGCTAAGGAAAAATATGTAATCTATGCAAGATTACTGGTAGATGCTAACAATTTATTGATTGGTCCTATGTTACTTGAGAACTATTTGATATTGAAAGTTCAGTTTTTATAAAAATATGGATCTGAATCCCTAATTTGTTTGCTTGTTAATTTCATTTTCTCATTTTTAATGTTTGTGAGCAACATAGATGAAGTGTAGAAGTAAGTTGTAGCTGAGAGCTGGTATCTGTTGATGTTCTTTAGCAAGCACCTTGACAATATTAGCTTTTGTCTCCAAAATATTAATCTTTTTGCTACAATTTGGAAACAACATATGCAATTTCCCATAGTAATGCATGGGTTCTTTTTCAATGTTTGCAGCTACCCTAAGGCGTGTATCGAGCTTTGAAGCTCTTCAGCCAGCAAACAGGTAGAACCTCCACTAAACAATTGCCTGATCATTTCTATTTTTACTCCTTTTAAATTTTAAATTATGGACGTTGGATCAAATGTGAATGGAGAAAAAACAATTCTTTTGGCGAACCCCAAGTTTATTGCAACTAAAAATTTATAGTTGATTTTTTGTTAAATTTTAAAGTACAGAAACACTTCTTGCACTTTGTTCTATAGCTACAGTCACTTTTTGGTTTATGCGTGATTATATATATCATATTCAATATTACTTTTAGAGTTAGAACCGTCTTATTAGGTTTAGTGTATATCTCTTCCAACTACCGTTGTTTTTGCACACGTGATAATGAGGATCCAAGTTCTATGTAGGTTCTTTCTATGGACAACTGATTACTATAAATCATGAAGTTGGCTATCAATGAGTTGGCGATATTTGCATTTATGCTGAGGCGCCAGATTGATTTCTTATTAGCATTTATGCTGAGGAGCCCGATTGATTTCTTACTAGGGAAGGTTGAATTGCTTTGGTGGTAGTCAATATTTTGAAACTGGTTATTAGATCTACAACAAGTTCACACATGATCTAATTTGCCCATGTCATCATTTCAATGGACATGCATGGCTAGGTATAGAATAGAGAAATAGGCCCGATTGGATGGAAGTACTTTGAATTCTTAATTTGGTATAAAGATGTAACAGGTTTTTGTATTCCCAATTATGATGGGCCTCTCAAAACCAAGGCAGACGATGTATTCTTATAAGTAAACTATTTGGTCTCCGGAAGAGGAACATAGATTAAAATTAAATATATGCGGTAAGGTGTGTTTTGCAGATATAAAGGGATGAATCCATTTGAGAAATATGAAAGTATCCATTTATTTATTTATTTATTTTGCATGACGTTGGACTTCTATTTGAAGAAATATCAAGGGGGTATTTATTAATTCCTATGACTCCGTTTGGGAAGAATTTATAAATGGTTTATTTATAAAAAGACAGATATGAGTGTTGGATAAGTGGATAGTACTTGTAGGTCCATTGGAATTTGTGGTTAACAGTCGGAGGCTAAAATGTCAAAGAAGTACAAATAAAAACCAACAAATGACCTGCTTGTGTCATTATTATTATTGGTTACGCAATTCTAATCATGATAACTGTATGTACACATGGACCCTGAAGGTCAACACATGTTGACACTTGTTCCCTGCTTGAGATTAGTTTGATAAACTGAAGTTGTGGTGCATGATTGCTTTTCAAACTTTTTGGTGGAAAAATGCAGATAATGTATTTGAACATTTTAAATTTTGACCCAAAAATTTGTTGAAGATCAAATTCGGTACATGATGTGTGCACTTGCACTTTGTTAAGAGAGAGAATACAACAAAGTCAACCTTGTTCCCAACATATTTGGAGATCACTATATGAATCCTTTTTCGCCACTGTGTTTGGTCCATTGCCAGATCTACTAGAAGATCTAGAGCAATTAGATCCTTGGCAACTATTTTTGTCTAACCCTACCTCTTTTGACTTGCCCTACCAAGATTGCATCACTCATTTTAAAGTCTCTCTGTCTACTCAAATCATATTGCAACAACCTAAATCATTCTTCCCTTAATCTATTCTTATATCTCTGTCACCTCCATTTGTTGATTTATATTCTCATATCATATCTTATCATTTTAGGATGACACCACATTCATCTTAGCATCCCATTTCTGCTACGTTCATCTTATGGAGGCTTTCCTGTTATAGAAGAACACTTAAATCACATACCATGTAATCACTATTTTTTGTGGAATGTCATTAACCTTATATGAATCTTCTTGTCACACAGGATTAATTCTGTAATGTTTAGGTTTCATCCAAGCCGCTCTTATCCTTTGTAGTATATCGTCTTCAAATCTTCCTTGTTAATAATAGAACATGCGTTACATCTGGGAACTTTGCAGCAAAACCCTAATTCAACCAATGACAATAAATGGCCAGATCAATATAGGAACTGTCTTGCTCAGTATGCCTCACTGGTGTGGATACTCCGTTTCATAGCTTTGAAGTGCTATTAGTTTCCTGCTGCTCAAGGTTCAGAAATGTTATATCTTGGAACTATAGAGTAAAGAAGAAAAGATGTGAATACTGTTGCATCCATATACTGATATTGGATGGGTCATCTGGATATTTATTTAACCTCCTGACTTGCATGTCACTGCACGTAGCTTCCTGATAGTTTATACAATAACACTTCCAGTTTGAACCTCAATGACCTGAACTGTTATGATGAACTGTCAACACCTTAATAAAATACATACTATGAAGATCATTGTACAGCTTTTTTCTAGGACTTGGCTGAATTTTCTGGGTTGAGTCATGCACTTACTCTTTGATCTGAAATCTTCATTCTTTGCTCTCGAAGTACAAAATGCATATTTATTGCAAAAATATGTTAGTCTGTTTTCATGGTTGATCTGTAAATCCAAAACAAATATTGATATTGTTGCACAGTATTTGTTTTAGATAAATTCTTGAATTTGTCAACTTCCCCTCCTGATACAAGTTCATCCACAGGAGTCTCCCAACAGATTTTGTAAGATTGGATCAAGACATTCTATCTCCACTTGCTGGGAAAAAGCAGTTATATGTATATGAAACCATGGACTTCTGGGAACAAATAAAAAATCCTGGGTGAGCCAAAGATGAAGTGATACTCCTTCCTCAACCACCTCGTATGTGTCTGGAAATTTTCATCTGAGGGTTTCTATTTTGCAGAATGTCTCTGAAAAGTTCTGGCTTGTATCTCGCACAATTCAGATTCACCTCACCCCATCTGTTGGCAAGTGGGGATGGTACAAAGAAGGCTACAATCTCTGGTGATGTGTATATACATCCATCAGCAAAAGTTCATCTGACTGCAAAGGTAGTAATGGTGTCAAGATGTCATTTGTTCATATTCTTGTTGCATTAATTTTCAATAATTTTGGGATGTAATTTTTCTTGGATCTTGTGCATACCTGATAACCTCATTCCTACAAAGCTATTTATGTTTTTACAAAAGGATTTGCAGCATTCAAATGCTAAAACTTTTTTGTTGACACTAAACATTCAGACATCTGCCAATATCCATGATCACATATAACATTTTTATATGATACTGATGGATTAGTTCTGTTACATAATTGCATTGAAGAGTTAAGTTCATCATGCACATGATTTGACTTGGATCAATAATGTACTGCAGAATGTTATGGCCACTTGTTTTAACTCCTTGAGATTAGATATCAATTCAATGCAGGGTGTATTGCCTAACCAATTGTCAATACTTGAAATTTAGTTGCTCATTAACGTCTCAAGGAAATTTTTATTTTACATTTTTCTCGTCTGATGTTTGCTTTATTCTGTCCTAAAATTTTGTCCAACACCCCCCCCCCCCCCCCCCNCCAACTCTCTCTCCCTCCAGTTGGTTCTTACATTCACTATAATAATTCGTAGTTGACAATAATTTTCCATTATCTATTCTAAGCTTATGGCAGCCTCCATTTTCCTGCTTCTATATTTCTGACTTCCTTGCTATGAATGTTTACCAGATTGGTCCAAACGTTTCAATCTCTGCCAATGCTCGCATAGGAGCTGGTGTGAGGCTTGTCAGTTGTATTATTCTTGATGATGTTGAAATCCAGGTATTAGTCCCCAAATTACTGGATAATATCTTTACTAATGAAATCGCCTGAAAATTGACATTCGTGCTTCATGGTTATGCAAAGGAAAATGCTGTTGTAATCCACGCAATTGTTGGATGGAAGTCTTCCATCGGAAGGTGGTCAAGAGTCCAAGTAAGTGCAGGGATTTATCTAAATTTTTTCTTACAAATCAACTACGTTATTTTTAGTTTCTAAAAAGAGTTTCGGCACCTTAAATGTTTGCATTTGTTCATTCTTTCACACGTTTAAAACGAGGGAAAAGCTTTCTTTATGTTTTCGTGAGTCTCTATTCTGTTTTCTGCATTGCGTTCCCTAAGCTTTAATCTGCGTATTTTCAGGCTTCAGGAGATTACAATGCAAAGCTTGGAGTTACAATTCTTGGTACTTTTTCAACACTTTCTCCGTATATTCTATTCTCCGTGCTTCTTTCACCCTCAAGTTGTGACCTTTTGAACATATTTTGAACCAGGTGAATCTGTAACAGTAGAAGATGAAGTCGTGGTAATCAACAGCATTGTCCTTCCAAACAAGACTCTTAATTCCACTAACTATAAAGATATAAAAATTAAAAAAAAATTAAAAAACAACGTGTGATACCATGCCCGGGAGCGGAGCAAGGTAACAAAAATATTTAACTGGAGGGGGACGGGGACGACCGACCCACCCTAGATCCGCCACATTGCCATCCCCATCTCTCTTGTTACAATCAATATTAACAACTAAATAAATCAACCATACTATTTGTATCGAAATGGTTGATAAAAGAGATTGATTGAACACTTACATTGGGGGGCCCACCTTTTTTTTTTTTTTTTTTTTTTTAAATTGACATTAAAAATAAATTTTACATTTTTACTTTTTTTTAATGCTCCATTAAGTATCACAGGAGATTCTTCGTGAAAGGTTTGTTGGATTTCAGATTATAAAGAAAAAGAAATTATCTCTATAAGGAGCAATTTAAACTTGACATATATCACATAAATTTTCATGTGCGTTTGTCACACGTGAAAATTATATAAATTATCAATACGTACATGGATATTCGGTCATTACAGTTTGTCAACACGACCACACCATCACCCCGAACCAAAGCTACGTGGCACTCCTCCAAAATGAACGAAAACGAGAAAATACAAATGAGGTTTTTAAGGAAAATGTTTCATTCAAAAACATTGATGTATTGCTTCAAACATTACATCAAAGTTCATCGATGTGGTGAACATGGAATGCGAATATGAAGACGTGAAGAATAAAGTTATATTTTGAATGTATTTATTTGTTTGTAAATATGAATTCCAAATGAAAAAATAGTTTATTGTTATTGTTATCCAATTCTTTATATGTATATACTTGAAAATATTTTGTTGCTATCTCATTGTTGTTTGAGAATGATTGTTGTTGATGGTTGTCTAATCAAAGAACGTATGAAAAAAATGCCAATCTCCATAGAATGTTATCAAGTTAATAAAGAACATCCTCAACAATGTACACATTCTTGACCACGAATTCTTTAAAATTTACTTTCCACGAAAGATTAAGTTGACATGTGATTAAATTTATTCGTTATAATTTGTATTTCATCGTAAAAAGACCATCAAACACGATTGTAACATATTTTTACAAAATTTCTTGATTAGTACTCTTTCTTAAAAATCGACAAAACATTTATTTGACTTTAAATAATTGAAGAAAAAAGCCAAATTTGATTATGTAATGTGAACACACATTTAACTGAAGTTTTGTAACAAGGTTTACTCAAGAATATTACTTGAGTGCAACTTTCACCTTTCTAAGAATAAAGATAGTAAATCAATTAATATCTACTTATGATCCTTGAAAATTTTCTTTAATTGCCTAATTTTCCACACGCTTGTCACGCTCAAGAAGTCTCTTCCAGATTCCTCTTCTTTTGTGTCTTATACGTACATATAACAAATACATATACCTACCTTACATATGAATGTAGGATATCCATATCGGGTTAATAGTTTGCTAGCTAGTTGGGCGTTGGGATAGGTTGAACAAGTAGAAATCATGGAGAAGGATCAAGAATGCATATCCTACATAACCCAGCAACAGGCTGTGGAAATTGATGAACTACTCATGGGCCCTTTGGGATTCAGCGTCGATCAGCTCATGGTTAGTCAGTTTTTGACTGTGTATAGTTTGATGGATTTTTTGTCTTTTTATCTAACTTTCCATTTTTAGCTTGATTACTTGAATTACTTAAACTTCCTATGTAATAGCTTGACGTGCTTTTGAGTGCAGGAACTGGCTGGACTGAGTGTTGCATCTGCAATAGCAGAGGTGAGTGTTTGGCTGCATACAATTTGCAATTACTTTCTTTATTTCTAATGAGTAAATGAAATTATGTAGAAATCAGTATTTCTTTGAGGTTGTGTATATCTGTAGTCTCATGGTGGAAAATTTTCTTCTGTTGTTTAGAGCTTGTCATTTGGACTCTTGAGATATGTATATACAAACACGTCGAGGAATTGCGATTCATGAAATTGAATTTTGTGTGGGAAATACAATCATAAATGACATGTAAAATATAGCTCAGAATTAAATAGCTAAACAAGTAGGTGGTTGTGCATATACATCTCCCTCTTCGAGAAAAAATTATGCTCTTAGTGGGTTAACTTGAGAAATTCGTGCAATAGAAATCATAAGACTTATCAGCTCAAGGATACAACCCAATCAAATGTTATTTAGATGAATATATGTTGAGCTCAAATTAATTGTTTCATTGTAGTTGAAATTCATCCTCTCGCTGTAGTTGAAACACTTCTTTAAGGCCAAACGAAAATTGTATTAATGAAATATCATCAAGCACAAGTGACAATATGATTTCACAGAATATGGTGGCCAACTTTATCCACGAGTCATGGGCTATTATTTAGGCTATACGTTATGAATTTTAAAATTTATAAACTAATTGATAACCTCAGGGCCTTGCATGTTTTCTCAACAAAAAGTAATAATGCAGCATAGAACAACATTCATTTATGTACTCAGAAACATGTACCAACAAATAGATATATATCTAGTCTTAAGGGCACTTTTTCCACGTTTGTAACTAGTGAAAGTAGAACTAGCATAAACTGCAGTCAAGGTGGATCATCACCTATTTCAACGTGCTAGCTTTCTTGCTAAGGTTTGTCTGGTGACCAACCTTTTAAAGCAAATTAAGGAGAAGACAAATGTCAGAGGTGTGAATTTTGAGCTATCTCTTGGACTAAAGTTTTACCAATTATGGCAGGTCTACAGATCAACTGAATATAACCGTGTACTTGTCATTTGCGGTCCTGGAAATAATGGTGGTGACGGTCTTGTAGCTGCCCGTCATTTACATCACTTTGGATATAAACCATACATATGTTATCCCAAACGTACTCCTAAACCTCTTTACACTGGTCTGGTCACTCAGGTATTTAGTGAGAATCATGTTCATGTACCATGATACCATGATCATATACGCACCTCGGAAGTGCTTATTCTTGAGTAATTTTGCAGCTTGAGTCATTGTCAGTTCCTTTTCTGCCTGTAGAAGGTCTGACTCAGGAGTTATCGAATGACTTTGACATTCTAGTAGATGCAATATTTGGCTTCTCATTCAGTGGTAACTTTTATTCAGTTTCCCAAAGTTTAACCTTATCAAAGCATGCTGATAAGGTATATCCCATTGGGATCATTTTCATTTTATCTGTAAAATTTTCAGTATTATGCGTCGTACTTTGCTAGGTATGCCAAGGCCACCTTTTGATGGTTTGATACATGGCTTGGTGTCTGCAAGAAAACACAATCAAATGTTTCAGAGATCACCTGTCATTGTTTCTGTGGATATACCTTCTGGTTGGCATGTTGAAAAAGGAGACGTCAATAGCGAAGGCATTAAACCTGACATGCTGGTAAAGTTTTTCTGATGAAGTATCATGTCCCAGTGAACTGATTTTGTGGATAACGCTACTTGATAACTTTTTATATAAAGTTACCTTAAATTATTGAACATAGGTTTCTTTAACAGCTCCTAAGCTGTGTGCTAAAATGTTTTGTGGTCCGCACCACTTTCTGGGTGGAAGATTTGTGCCTCCATCTATTGTGGTCAAATTTAAGCTTCAATTTCCACCATACCCTGGCACTTCTATGTGTGTCCGAATCGGAAAACCTCCTCAAGCTGATGTGCAAGTGCAGATTTCTCCCGGAAATGATGAGAAGCACCGGGAGGCTGATCCCTTTGTTCAGGTATGGACGATAAACTATTACTTATTATCTATTGATTTGCGATAGTCGCGAGGAACTTACTAAACCATGGTTGTGGAATTATTTTGTATTTCTTAGCAATATGTAAACTATGAATTCGTTTGAGTCTTCTGATTATTCACCATTGTGCATTGCTTAATTTGCAGTTCCAGAAATGGTTTGATGATGCAGTGGCAGCAGGCTTGAAGGAACCAAATTCTATGGCCCTGTCAACTGCCAGCAAAGATGGAAAACCGTACGTTTCTTCTTTTATTTTATCAGTAATAATTGGACATTAATAGGCTTAACTATATTATTATTCTTGGAAGTTTCTCAAGCATCTTGACCAAATATGCATTGTAGAATACTTCTCTCTTTTCTGGAGTTTTAGATGGAACCATGATTGTTGAATCTGAAGCATGTTGTCCATTAAACAAATAATCTATCTTGTAATACTCTTGGGTGCACAAATTTGTTCTTCCTAAGAGCCACAAGTGCCTAAATGCCACAACACTGAATCAGTACGTACTACAGAATATTTCCCTTTCTATCAATGTAAATGTGTGTGTGAGTGTTTTCTTATTGCTGGTGTGGGGGTTGCGTGTTTTCTTATTGCTGGTGTGGGGGTGGCATCATAATTGGCTGTATTTTGTTATGTTTATCAAGCAAAGTGAAGAACTGTTCTTCGAAGATGGTTCCTAGCGCCCATGATTTTTTGGGTTAAAACACTGCTAAAACCCAACATATGCTGTTGTTCCACTTTGGTCACTGACCTTTTCTTGTTTCATGTTAGTCTGTAGACTTTCATATTTATTTCAAATTAAGCACTCGTTCTTCCTCTGTCTACTTAATTAACAGGAATTCTGACGTGACCTGAGAAATCTATTGTGCATTATTTTTATAGTCCAACTTTGTGAAAAAGGCATCTTGTTAGACAGTCGTGCTTTCTTTTTGAGTCTTTTGTAAACGCACATCCCAAAAGCACATCTTGTCCAACAGTACCTTTTTTGCCTCGCTGGACGATAAAAACAATTCACTAACAGAATTTCCATGCCAGATCTAATTCCTGTTAGCCACAACACCATTATCGTTAATTTAGCAGGATAGAGCATCTAAATGGAAACAAAAATGAAAGTTCAGTTTCTAACTTGGAGCAAGAAAATATTTGAGTGACAAATGAAACAACACCATGAGTGATGAACAGGGTTTTTAGCCCATTGTTATTTATGTGGACGTTGTGCACTGTGAACTAATTTTATACCTTAGCAAAATATATGATCTTACTTGACTGCGTTGTACTTTGTGTTGTTTTTACAGTTCTTCACGAATGGTCCAATTAAAAGGCATCCATGGAGAAGGATTTGTCTGGTTAGTTCTTTGTGACTTTACCCGTTGAAAATGAGAAGGCCAAAGCAAAAATTAATTAATATTGTTTATCTGAGAGGGAGAGAGGGTGAATGAAGTGTTACTATGTAATGAAATGACTAAAAACAGATGAAAGTGTTTGTCCACCAGAAAAGGTGTTGCTTCTTTTTTCTAGTTGTTGAACAGGTGTTCTTATATTACATTTTGCAGGTGCAGTAATTATGGTAGTCGAAAAGCTCAAGAAATATCTGAAAATCCTCATGCTTCACTTCTTTTCTACTGGAGTGGTTTAAATCGCCAGGTAAAATGTTATTTCTACTCTAATGCATCCACGCACTTTAAGATGTCAGATCTATTCTCAGAGTGTATTTTATGTTTTCATTTAAAGGAAAATCTTGAAAAACAAATGGTGAAATTTAAGGCTAGCTTGTAGAAAAGACCTTACTGAGATGTTAATTCGAATTCCAGGTAAGAGTGGAAGGTTTTGTGCAGAAAGTTTCTGATGAAGAATCCGAGCAGTACTTTCGTAGTCGTCCACGAGAGATTCAGATTGGCCCGGCAGTTAGCGAGCAGGTTTATCTCCTATTTTTCAATTCAGACCCTATTTTGTTGTGCAATAGCTCTGGACAAGAAACTGAACTTGAATTCTTGATTGCTTATCTTCAGAGTACTGTAATTCCTGGACGGCAGTTTCTCCATCAAAAATACAAGGAATTAGAAGAGAAGTACTCTGATGGGTCAGTATTTCGGTCTTTGGGCTGAAACGTTTACTTAAAATTGAATAAGCTACAAAATAAGTAATTTTTTATCGACCAAAATTGAAAATAAATTGTTTATTTTGACAGTAAAGTAAGAATTACAAAATAAGTAATTGTTTTTTACTTAAAATAAAGAAACAAGTAATTTTTCAAACATGTTTAACTTAAAAGATACTTAAATTTACTATTTTAAGCTTATCGAAACATTATCCGTCTCATATGTGAGCGGTTATGTCTATTGATGCATGCAGATTGTTCAAATTAAACTCGCCTATGGGTATATGCACATGTTTTTCTTGTACAACTATTTTGTGCAGAAGTAATTTTTACTGTCATCAATTGTATGGTGTATTCTGAATATTTTTTTACCACCCCCTACATCCATGTATACTATTTAAGATATTTCATTTCTTCAATTTTCAGAAGTATGATTCCCAGACCTAAACACTGGGGAGGATACAGACTCATACCAGAGTGTTTTGAGTTTTGGCAAGGAGATGAATCACGAGTGCACCTAAGGTAGTTCTTTTTTTCCATCTTTTTCTAATGTATGAGTTGAAATGCCAGCTAATGTAAAATAGGGCAATTCTCGGTCTTTGTTATCTAAGCCATAATCCTAAACTATCATCTTCGTAAGTCCTGAGAGTTCATCATCTACCCTCTTTAAATAGCGAAGGATTGTCATTAATAGGTGTTTAAGACTAAATTTAAATAGATTACTGTGGTCCTAACAATTTAAGCTTTTAGATGAGGTGGCGCAACTTGGTATCGGAGCCAAGGAAATGACCTGGATTCAAGTCTTGTTGTCAATCATTCATGAAAATTGTGCATGTGTCAGACTTTTGATCGAGAAAATGCATGCAGTCTTCACACGAGGGGGCAAAATTTAAATGAATACATTTGGTGAGTTTCAAGTTGGTTTATTCAACAAAGTGCAAATAGTCAAACATCTTGGAGGCATGTCCCCATACGACAAAAAATGAATGAGAAAACAAATTGAGCGGCGAGCCTATGGCTTAACAAACATTCTTGATCGTGTGGAAGATTAGACATGCTCTCTGTATACTCGAATGATCTCCAAACCCAGCAACAGAGATATTGGAGTGTGGTTTGTAGGCACTATAATTTCCAGTTATCTTTAGTTTTCCAAACTTTCATCCATTTTGCAGCATTAGTCCTGATGCTGCTCTAAATTCTCGTCATAATCTGTATTTCTAGACCGTTTTCATCTCTTTTTGAGATCTAATTTCGGGCCCAACTCTTGCAACTGAGAACCCAGTTTTGGGCAGAATTGGTCATTCTTTTGCTTTGGTGTTGTAATGGCCTTGAGAGTTCAATGAGGTTTTTCAGGAAAGGCTGAGAGCTAGGAGCACTCATGAGAATTATGTGTTAAATAAATATGTAACAGTATGCAGATATCGAAATTTATTTGTTATTGTAATTATATGATTGACAGGTTGCGCTATGCTGCCGAAGAAATTGGTGGAAAAATAGCCTGGAGAAGAATTGTTAAATAGTGGAGGCATCCTTGAACATGGAATTTTGTGTAGTTATTGTACTTGGTATATGTTGAAGCTAAAATGTGTATGAAGCCTGCCAACAGTGGAGAAAAGTGCAATAAACTATTTGATACATGAAGTCTCTCAACTTGAACACAAACCAAGTGGTAATGGTGACATTGAGGTAAAAAATCTTTACCTAATCTCCTCCTATGCTACATTTACATTCTGTAATTCCTCGTCTAATAGAAACTCCCGTCAGTCACTATGTTGTCTCACCTTCGATAGTTCCTAAACTTGCACTCAGTTTACTTCAAAGCTTCACGCGCATAGCCATGTACAGATACAAATCCCTATTGCTGTCGCTAGGCCATCTTCTGTTCAGTAGTTCCCCTCGATTTCTTCAACCTTTACGGGAACGATCACGCCAAGACCCTCGTTGCATTGTTAGTACCTGAAGTGATAAGATTTCACAAAATTGATCACTGTGATATCCCTAGCTGCCTTCTACGATTATCTCGCATGAAGTCCCTCACCTGGTCACTAAGAAGACTTTTGACGGGGGAACTTGTAACGTTCTCTTTTGTATTATTATCCTCTTCAGCTTCGTTATCTGTTTCTACGTGTAGTGCAAGAGAAGAGGCTCCAAACATCGCCTCATCGTGAGCATCCCTGATATCTTCCTCTTTCTTTGCCTTTAGAATGATAGAAATTTATAGAAAATAATAATATTTGATGAGAAGGATATGACTTTGCCATTGTTGAAAGAGACTATCTGCCATGAACAAACACAAAGCAGAGGATGTGCACAGTACCTTCACTACAGAAAATCGAAAGCTTTGTCCCGCGTGTTTGACTAATGCAACATCATCCTCCGCAGCTGCCATCACATGACAAAGTATTATCATCACTCTTAGTACTATAAACAAGAAAATGTTGGAACAAAATTAAATATTATTCCCAGCATCCATCTGATGTAAACCAATGTCACAAAGTTCCAGCAAAACATTTAATCTTCTTGATATCCTCTTTTATGGAATTCTTTAAAATGATTACGATCTACGATCTATAACCATCGTAAGTATTTGTATTATTTTATTGATTTATGTTCAGACTTGTGCTCAGCCAAATGCAGACGTACACTGCAACATACCCGGTTTAATCTTCCCAAACACTGATCAAAAAAGGTAAGTTAGTCTTTCCTTTACAAAAAAAAAAACTTGCTACATGTACATCTTGACTTACTGAATTTACATTTGACACAATTTCATATCATTTTTCCCATCTTAAACATTTAATCCAACCACTATAACACTTCCACGATATCAGTCTGCCAACCAACCATGTCATCCATGATGACTACAACATTACCACCGAGCAATGTCGATACTTGATCAATTCTCTCTCTCTCTCTCTCTCTCTCTCTTCATTTCCTTTTATGCAGATCAGTTAACATTACCCATTAATCAATTAAAACTTGAAGCAGCAAAAGAGGTTTGTCCTACTCTAATGCACGCAAGAACATAGTTTTACTTTCAGTCTAAGAACAAAATATTCACAGATTTTCCATCATACATAGAAGTGCAATTTTCAAGCATTGGAAATTGGAAATTTGAAAGACAGAATGTAGAATTTATTAGTTGTGCATTCCAGGATGACACATTGAAAACCATTCGACCTCATCAGGAACTGAACAGCTTCCATGAAGTGCTGGAAAGTCAGACCAACATTTCTTTACTACTATTTCTATTGATGGCTTGAGTTGACCAAATCAACCAGGACGACAGAAAAAAAAAAAACTCTGCATTTCCACACTTCTCTTCTCTCGGTACACAATTATACCAGTTATATGGTAAGGCGAATTGTAATGTCTTATTTTATCCCTCCCTGAATATAGCATGTCTCAGTAGTTCCTATTTTATAATTTTTGAGGTAAAACATTACTAAACGGGCATCAAGAGTCTGCAATTGGCATGTGCCCAGCAAAGTGAAAAAAAATAAATAGATAAATAAAAAAGAACAGTGTTAATGCAGATAATATCCTTCTTGCCCCGATTAAGGAGAAAATGCCTAGATGTCCCAAAAAGGGAACTACAGCACAAAAAGGGCGCATGTGATCTTATAAACAGAGACAAGAAAAGGCAGTACCAGGAACCAGATAAATTAGGAACATCTGAACATGACTACACTACTAATCATAATATCAGCAACTACTACTGCAAACATAATTTACAGAACACATAAGAAACATAAACCAAATTATCAGCCGGAGGAAAAGAATGCCTAAAAATTCAATTTGTTAGTAATTATGAAAAGGACAAATATAGAAAGTATTTTAACCTTCAATTTCCTCGTCATCCAGAGGTGCATCCTTGTCGAAGTTGAATCGCTCCCATCCAGATCCTGTTCCCATAGTTTCATCCATTTCAGCTGCAAGTAGAACAAGGTTTAGAACATGAAAATTTCACAGTTTCCACGAAAAATTACCACGATAGTTAACAGTGAAAAATCACCTTCAAACAATAAATAAATAAACAAACCTCGATAACATTATCGGCAGTGATATATCTAGAACTGAAAAACTATTAAATAATAAATATAGGTGCGACATAGATTTCACGTGGAATTGGGATCTGATACTAAAATAGTAAAATTTATGAAAATGCAATTTTAAGTATGAACTAATTCCATTCAGGAGAGTAACTTTGTAGTACCAAACATGATCGATTCTATTGTTCTCCAGCTCATCCCAGCACTTTTATTAAGCGCAGTTAGATGGAATCTCTTCAGCAATGTCAAACATTTCAATATAATCTGGACTATCAATCATCCAACAAAGAGCGCCACTCAAACTAAAGCAATAAAATTCTCCACCAAAGCATATATGGGGCACACCGTCTCCTGTACATAATCTTCCTAATATGATACTAATGTGCAAACCTCACCCTTCTAACTTTACCACACCACCAGAATTTTTAGGTGCAATTTGTTAGTGTTGCACAGGACCTGAAATTTACCAGCACTTGAATAGATGCCATTTCCATATGCTTCAATTTCATCCATTTATCTGAATTTTCAATGCTTTCCAATCTTTCTCATCACTGGTTTTCTTTGCAAATAGTATCAAGGCCATCAATATCTGATTGATATAGCAAGTTGAAGTATGCACCCATCAGATCTCAATAGTTACTAGGACTACATGGTACCTCGTTCCACAATTATAGTTACAATTTGCTTTAGCAAGTATATGCACCATCATCGATAGATTCATGTTTCATCAAAGAAGTGAGGTGACACGAAAACGGTAACCTTGTAATATTCGCAGTCTGGTTTGAAAAGTAATTTATATCTGTTGTGGCGGGCACGACTAAAGCTAAGCAAGGCTATGTGTGACAGTCTTTATAGAATGACTTCAAGACTCATTGTTATGCACAATTCATGGCTCCTTCAGTCGCACCTATTTATCTTGTTGAAATTTATTTTTTGGCGAAACTGACGACTGAAAGATAAAATGTATTGTGAATTCCTACAAAAAGTATGGGAGAGTGATTTATCAGATACTTCCATGTGCACAATTCATGGCTCCTTAAGTCACACCTACTTATCTTGTCGAAATGTATTTATTTTTTGGTGAAACTGATGAGTGTGAGGAAAATTGTATCGCGAATTCCTAATAAAGTATGGGAATGGGAGAGTGTGATTTATCAGTTACTTCCACGTCTACATCCCATTCACCTTTTCCTTCTATCACCAAAAAGAAGGATTACATGACATTTTCCAAGTAACCTAACAGCAAGCGGACAATTATAATTTTTTTTCCTGGGACACAAATGACCTTACAAATTATCCAGCTTAGACCAAAATAAATTTAAATTAACACAACTGCATCAGTGTCACAATGTTATGTAACGGATTATACCGCGATAATATTGGATAGCAGATTTACGTATATCAAGTTTTCATGAAAGCGGCTACCTCATGCTGCCAGCAACAAGACAACCATAATTATGTTGTTTATACTTTCCAATTTCTTAAAAGATTTCTTTCTTTGGTCCATTATTCGAGGTTTTTATTCGGATCGGTTCCCTGTAGATACAGTCAACATCAGCTAGCTGAGTAGAGAACTTCAACTATACTGTTAGGGGGCAACAATTCTCAAAAAATATGATTACCAAATTCATACTGCCACCCAAAGGCTCATCACATAATTGTGCGTCCAAAGCATCATAATTGTGTGTGCATCTGTGCAAACACTTTTAAACAACTCTGATAAACATTCTAGCCGAAGCCCAACTCTTTAGCTGCAAGAATACCCACATGGAGAGCAGTTTAAGCTATTGATTTAGTTCACTCTTACTCGAGACTTCATTTCAGTTCACTCTTACTCGAGACATGTAATTTGTTAAACTAAAGAATTATCAACTGGCATGGTCCAACCGTGCACACAAGGTGTAAGGAGCTTAAAGTTCTAAGTACCTCTTTTTCCCCATATATTACTGCTTATCTGAGATATATTCTAAAGGAATTTTTGTGCATCATAGCGCTTTAACATATGATCAAATCTTTCCTACAACTAATTTACTTAAAGTTGCATGTAATGACTAAAAATCCTCACAGGAGAACATACAAGGAACAAAGGATCAGATTCAAAGGGGCATTGGCAAAGTATGTTCTCAGGGTGGCTGAAGGGACAAACTACAAATCTAACCTTTGCCATCATTTGAAGCAAGCAGCAGAAGGTAAAGTATCAAAGACTCGTATACAGTCATATTTTCATGGATTCAGTCATATGTTTTTCATTGTTAAATTAAACTATTTGTTGAGGTTCAATTTTAATTATTTATTGTTGAGATTGGTTTAACTTTTATCAAGTTCTTTGTAGATCTGGTCGTGCTCTTTCTATTGAATGATTGAGATAATTTTTGAATTTTAATCTCAATATTACTTTATTTGCGGATTGATTACTGACTTACGCTTAATGTATATGGTCGATCTTTGATATTGT